GATGGTGATGATGATGACGCCGATGACGAGAATACTCTTGATGACGATGACGATGATGATGATAATGATAATGACAATGATGATGATGGTGATGATAACGATGATGATGATGAAGACGATGATGGTGACGCTAACGGTGGTGATGATGATGATGATGATGGTGATGATGATGGCGATGGCGATGGTATGGTGATGACAATGACGATGGTGATGATGATAATGATGATGACGATGACAATGACGATGGTGATGATGATGGTGATGATGATAATGGTAACAATGATGATGGTGATGACGATGATGGTGATGATGGTGATGATAATGGTGATGATGATGATGTTTATGCTGCTGATGGTCATGGTAATGATGATGACGGTGGTGACGGTGATGACCATGATGATGGTGGTGACCAGGATGATGGTGGCGACCATGATTATGGTGGTGGTAGTGATGATGGCGATGATGACGATGCTGATGGCGATGATGATGATGATGACGATGATGATTATGATGATGAAGATGGTTGTGATGGTGGTGATGGTGGTGATGATGATGATCATCATCATCATGTTAATCATGTGCTGGTAAAGGCAGGCTTTCTGTTTGACTTCCACTTGCTCTCAGCGCTTGTGTACGGAGTCCTTGCGGTAAGGATGTTGATCCCAGTTGCGCCAGCTGTCGTAACGTATCCTTGTCTCTCGTTCCCTTCGGGTTGTGTCGCGTAATCCACTCAGAACCGCCGTATCTGCAAACCCTGCCCAAGGAGCTTCTCGTGCCAGCTCTGGTGCTCCAGGCCTTCACCATGTCAAGCACTTAGGATGACTCGAGGCCCTAGTATACGATAATTTGATGTGCCACGCCTTCCAGATGCCGCTTTATGCGAAAGACATGATATTTCGATGTGCAAAGGTTTGCTTGACAACCGTTCCAGTTTGGATCTCGTATCCTCGTATCGTAAGACATTCCCGCTGCAAACTGAATGAGAAACTCCCGTGGCTATATTCTGACCGTCGCCTCCTCATCCGCCTACTCATCCTCCCCCTCCTCCTCCTCCTCTTCCTCCTCTCTCCTCCCTCCCGTGGCTACGTTCTGACCTTCGCCATGAACAACGTTTTATGAGATTATCCAAAATGTTGGCACACATACCGCGACGGCGACAAACGCCGCGGCTCGTGACCGCATGATCCCCAAGGCCACCTGGCTCGGTATCTTCGCCAGGAGCGCCAAATCCACTCTGTTTTTTAGTACGTACCGGCAAATGAAACGGTATATTGCACAATTCTATAACCACCTTATTCAGTCCCGTCACACTCTTAATGATTTGACTGTGTGTTCGGATCCCGACTGCGACCCGCATGGGCGGCGGCGGAAAGTTCCTATATTTGACGTGACCACCCGTACAGGCGGTGTTAATCGAAGATATTAGATGACCCGATTTACCCTGCGTAGCCCTGCGACCCGGGAATCAAGAGCCCTGCACACAACACTGGGAAAAAATTATGTTCTACTACCGTCATTCGCCCGTTAATTTTCGGTTGTGGTTGGGCAAGCGGGATTCTTCTCCCTCTCCTTAACCCCTCCTCTTTCCTCCTCCTCCTCCTCCATCCTCCTCCTCCTCCCCCTCCGCCTCCCTCCTCCTCCTCCCTCCTCTTCCTATAACCTACTCCGTCTCCTCCTCCTCCTCCTCCTCCTCCTCCTCCTCCTCCTCCTCCTCCTCCTTCTCCCTCATCATCATCATCATCATCATCATCATCATCATCATCATCATCATCATCATCATCATCATCATCATCATCATCATCATCATCATCATCATCATCCCTCTCCTCCTCCCGCTCCCCCTCCTCGTCCGCGCGGAGTTGGTGGGCAAGCGGGAATTCCTGAAAAATGGTTTGCAAATGATTCTGATTGTTTTTTCGACGTCCGCCGCCTTGCTGCCGGTGCACGACAAGAAGGGCCCCGGGATTCTGCAACAAGGCTTTACGCACCAAAGCTTCTCTGCAACTGGAATATCACACGCACGCAAATGTGATATCCCGTGGAGTTTACCCAAGTCTGTGGAGGGGGGGGAGGGGGAGGATGGGACGCTCTGGCGCGGCGCTCCCAGTCGAGCAACCTTGGCGCTACAGGAGGAGGAGCAAAGCGCAGAGGACATACAGTGCTCACAGTGCGGCGCACCCTTGTACGAAGGCAGAGCCAATGGGAGCGAGGCGGGGGGAGGAGGGGTAAAGTGGAGAGTGAGGGCGAGGGAGGAGGGGACTGGTGGGTCAAGGGAGGAAGGGCGACGACGACGATGACGACGACGAAGAAGACGAAGAGGACGAGGAGGACAAGGAGGGCGAGGCGGCGGTGGCGATCACCCTGACGTGGGCCAACTAGTTCGTACTTGTAAGGCGAGCGTGGGTAAAGAGCGAGGGCAACTGAGAATTCTGTGGCACGGGCGTGGCAGTGGTGGCAGGATCTGCACGAGAGGAGGAGTCGGAAATGGAGCAGGATAATGAATAACAGCACGAGGTAGCATGATAAAAGAGGAGGAAGGGAGGATGACGAGGAGGGGGAGGTGGAGGAGGAGGAGGGACAGGAAGAGGAAGAGGAAGAGGAAGAGGAAGAGGAAGATGACAGGAAGAGGAGGAGGAGGAGGCAGGGGATGAGAAAAAAAAAGAATAAGCAGAAGAAGAAGAGGCAGAATAAGAAGATGAAGAAGACGGGAGAAGAAGTAGGAGGATGAACGATCAGCAGCAGCGGGGGAACTTTTCGTTCTGCCGCGGCGACGCAGACGTGACGGGAACTTGGCGTCTGGCCGCGGGGGTTTGAAAAAAGGAATCGCGCGGGGCCGATTGGACCCCGTCGGCACAGCAAGAAGACTAAGAGAACGAGCCCGTGGCCCGTGGCTGGCAACCCCCGAGGACGAGGGGAGGGGGGGAGGGAGCCTCTCTCTTCTCTGGAGACCGTTTTTTTTTGAATCGGCGATGACCGGGGTTATCCGGGGGGGGGAGGGAGGAGGGGACTGGCCGATAACCTAACCTTCGGGCTGTGGACAGCCGTGCATGTGCCCGCGCCCCCCCACACCGGACCTGCACAACCGGCAGGGTCAGGTTATCCTGGGGGGCGGGGGGGAGGGGGGCAAGCCAGATAACCCGGATGATCGCCGGACCCTAAAAAAACAGCCTCCTGTCCCAGCGCAAAAAAGCCTGGAGGCGGAAGATGACAGAACCTCCCCAGACCCCCAGCGGCTCGAGAAAGTCGCGCGCGAGGGCTTTCGCCACTTTCGGCCTCCCATCAGAGTCCGTCTCCTGGCCCCGGGGCTGTCAGAAAACGGCCCCGGGTGGGGCGCAGAAAGATACACTAGTACTACGAGTTTCTCTTGGAGTCGCACGTCCGATCCGAACATGTAGTACACAAATATTACAGCAAATCGTTGCCCAAGCTGTTGGGCCAGCAAGCGCCCGCCACGGTGCTTGTGTTGTAAAGATGTTGCAGAGCGCACGTTGCCCCTGCGGAAGCGACGCAAACATGGTTTAAATCAGTCTGAGTTCGACCGACCGGTTGAATGGGGAAGAAATCGACAGCCCAAGGCAAGGGGTCACCCACTCGGCAACACCAAGTCGTCGATCTGGGACCAGAGACTCACCAGACCGGACCAGAGAAACAGTGAAGGCCAGCTGCTTCTTGACCATTTGGGGCAGCCCTGGCCCAAGGAAGGGCCTGCTCGGATGTCCCTGGGCAATCCTTGACAATTCGCCCCCCTGAGATCCGACGTCTCCCCCAAAAATGCAACATCGCACCGACAACAAAAAAAGGTCGCGACCGGAACCCTGGACCCCATATTTCTGCTGCGTTGCGAGCAAGATCGGTCCGTGATGGTTCTGGGGCCCGATACCCGGCGAAACTGCCGGGAGTTAAAAAAAGTGCAGCGCCCGGACCTCAGGGTCACACTTGACCCAATCACTCATCAGATCGCTGGCGTGGCCTGTGGGGCAGCGTCGCGCGGCGCTGGCCTCTTGGGCTCTCCGGGTCTACCTCCGCGCCGCGCAGCGCGCGAGATGCGAAGCGTCGGGCTCTTCTCGCGCTCCCGCGCGACCACCCCGGAGAGAGACGCCGTTCTTCGGCCGAGGCCGCAGCAGGCGATACGCGATCAGGGACCTCCGACGCCAGTGCCTGCGAAGTCCGCGGGCCTTGGCCCGCTCGCCCCCTCCCCGCGGACGGGGCCTGCGTCCCGAGCCGCTGCCCGGCTGCCTCGAGGCCCACGCGCGGCCTCTGCTGGCGCCGAGAGGCGCGAGGGAGCCGCGTGCCCGTGTTGTCAGGACGCCGGAGCAGGCGCAGGAGGGGCAGCAGGGGGGGGGAGCAGGAGCAGCAGGAGAGCCAGGAGGGGCAGGGGCAGGGGCAGGAGCAGGAGCAGGAGCAGCAGGAGGGGCAGGAGGTCGGCGGCAAGCGAGGGGGGGGCCGTGGGGAGAAGAAGGCCTTCTGAGGAGGCGGCGGGACTTCTCGGAAGCCCTTGCGCCTTCTGAGAGGGGTTCTGCGTCTTCGGGGAAGGCTGATGAAACTTCTCAGCAGGCTGGGGGACTTCCGAACCTTCTGAAATGGCCCGCTTCTTCTCACTTCCCCCCGGGGCTCGCCGCCGAAGGAGAGGCAGGGGGACCCTGAGAGCTGACGTTGCAAAAAGGGTGCAGCATCGCGAAAAAAAAACACGACTGGAGCCCTGGACCCCATCAGTCTGCTGCACTCTTCAAACCAGACCGCTCTGGGATGAATGTGGGCCCCGAAACCATACGAAAACGCCCAGGGTGTAAAAATTGCAACGGTTGGATCTGGAGGAGGAGGAGGAGGAGGAGGAGGCGGAGGTCGAGGAGGAGTGAGACCCAGGACGCCTGAGGAGGTCGAGACGTAGGTCCGCCAGCCACGCCCCCCCTCTACCGTCGGTTGCTGGCCAGCCGACTGGCCACGGGCGAGCGCACGCCGCGACGCAAGGCTCGGAGCCAGCGGCCTGGCGGGAAGGCGCC